TCCGTTCTTGGATAGGGTAGTCCCACACACTGGCACTGGCAGGTCGGCACACTACGGGTTGAGAAGACCCGATGGTTGTGCAATAACTCACCGACTGTCTGGTTTTTACACCATACAATCCGAGTTTTCTTACGCGCACGGCGCATGATGAAGCAAGTAGGTAAATCACAATCCATTAGTATGTCACTCACCACTTTCCTCAACTCACACACGCTAATCCTGTCGTCAAACTTCACTCTGATCAGCAGATCCGCACTCAAACTTAGGTCACATTTCACCATGAAAGCTCTTGAAAGATACTTTCTGGTCGACTTCTTTGAGAAATCTTTTATGACGTTGTATAGTCATAGCATCGAGCGCATATCCCACTTGTATACTTCACTAAGTATCGTAGGATTTCTCGGTAAAGATGGTAGGAACTGTTTAAGATCACAACACTGTGGTTTCCATTCCACAACATAGTCAATTGTCATCCGTCCTCCATTCTCAAACCACGTCTTACAGTCCTTCAGCTGTTTTGGATCCAAATTACGAGATACCCTAGTCGATCCAAATTTCGCTGCGATATTCCTCCACGGCAACTGCCACGTGTCACCGCCACTAGAGTCAATTGAAAATTACACACTCCCGACTTCTCCTATTCATCCAGCAAATCGGATAAGTTCAGACGCCAATTCCCTGACGAATTCAATTTAAAACGGAGCGGTGCAATAGCCCGCTGAGTCGCTGACCTTCATGTATCTTGTCTACCTTTCCTAGAACGCTCCTCCTTCCCTAGTGCCCGCTTGTTTCTCCCTCTTCCGTCGTTGCCTCTCCCGACCCCTACCGTATTTAAGAAAGGAGACCATTGCCGAATATATATGCTTTCAAGCTTAGTCTATTCATCGTTGACTATGGTGTCGATCGGTATTAGGACATGGTGCTCAACACCGAAACTTCCTAGCCAACGATAAAAACGATTAGGAGCTCGATTGCGGCATGCATACATGTGTTTGCGCCAGCGAGTGTCAAGCTGTCTCGAAGACTTGCCGATATATAGCGATTTGGAATATGGAGATACGGCCACGTAAACACTGGATGAAATAGTATTCACAAACTCGGTACCAAACAAGTCGAACAATCGTATCCACGCGTCCACGCATTTGCGTGTCCATCGGAGTGCGTCAAACAGCGATAAATTGACGATCGCTAATCGAAGAAGTTCTTCGACCTTCGCGTCGACTCCATTGAGCAGTGCCCGCAGCAAGGCAACACACGATTTCCCACAGGTCAGCAATACTGAGGCCACATCACTCAGTATCATGTTTCTCCTCCTCTTCCGTGGTATCCTCTGTCCCTGCTCCAACAGATGTCTCCGCCTCGTGTTCTTCGTCCGGTCCATAGACGGCTCGAGTGCGGCGTGCGGCAATATCAAAGATAGATTCAATTTGCCATTGTAGGCTGCAATACCAAAGCATTCAAACTTTTAAGCTCGTTCATCACTCGTTTCTCAAACTTCATCCTGCCGATCAAGCCTATCGGTGCCGGTGTCTTCTTTCGGATGGATGGTGGAGTTTTCTTGGGTGTCGGAGTATGGATAACTCGACTCTTCGACCTCGTCATTCTCCCTGTTGCTTTGGTCCTCGCTGCACGCCTCGGGGTGCACTTTGGCGGTAGTTCCATTGGCGGGCTACCCTCCAAGACTTGATCGGGTTCCCTCTTCCACTTTTTTGACAAGCATAATGCACGCGTCTTCATGTTCAGTTCCTCGGTCTCACTACTACTCGCACAAGTGACGAATGCTGGTTCCGCTGCTTCAACGCTCGTCTGTTTGCCGCGTGCCACAGCAATACATAATTCACTGATAACATTGCGAATCTCCCCGTGCACATCTTCCCTGACATCATCTCGAAGTTCCCCCACTCGAACAGCCATCCTTAGGTCCAATGCCTTATGCATTTCCTCTTTCCATTCCGCCTCCTTCCTTGCCTTCTCCTCCTTCCTCATTTTCCTCTGTTCGGCTTCTGCTCTCTCTGCTTCCGTACGCGCCGCTGCTTGCTTCCTTCTTTTCCAGCTTCCTGTGCTCCTTAGCTGCTTTCTTCTGTTGCTCAATTTCCATGTAATGACAAACAGCAACAACGCTCTTGCCGATCTCCGCTACTTTCGACTCGATCTCCGCTACTTTCCACTCCAGCGGTTCAGACGATAGCTGTGCTCTCCCACGCTCCATCCTGCTTGGCGACATTCTTCCTCCAGCCGCCGAGGTAGAGGGTCCTGCCACAGCCACTCGCTGCATGTAGGACACTGATTTGCGTAGTGCCTCGGTTCCCCGCGACTGTACCAGGTGACTGGTCCTCTCCTAGGGGCTCGCTCATAGCGCACGTCACTACCGAAATTCCTATCCCCTCCGTGACTCCTGTCACTTCCATAGCCCCAGTCACTACCGTACCCGCAACGACTACCACCATAGTCACGGTTTCCGCCACCATAACCCTGATTGCCTCGACCCTGGTCGCATCCTCCACCGTTGTAGTCTGGTTGGTCGCCATGTCCAGCCATGTGTCACACGTCTTCGAAGGCGTCACTACATAAGTCTTGTATTCGCCACACACATAAGTGCAACAGATGTTGCTCTCTTATCTCCTAGTCTTCAATGATGGCGGTGCAAACCGTGCTCACCTATCTTGGTAATGTGACTCCAGGATCGTTCACACGCGCACTGGCATTAGATAAAAGAAAAAGAAAAGAAACCCAAAAAAGATAAAGAAAGAAAAAGATAAAAGAAAAAGATAAAAGAAAAAGAAAAGAAAAGAAACCCGAAAAGCTTCTAGAGAAAAGTTACCTCGTCACCACAACTTAAAAAAACAAACCAGTACCGCTAACCATGGTGTTACAACCCTGTCCAACTTCCTGGTGTGCCATTTGGTTTGGCTACCCGGGGTTTGCCATGCCCAACCTTGGTTTTTAGTTAACCAGGGGGTTCTGCTAGCAACGCACAAGGTTTGGCACGCCACAGCATAGTTAACCACAGTTTGTGCATAGTTAACGTCGTTTTGTGCATAGTGTAAACCACAGTTTGTGAATGGTTAACCACAGTTTGTACATAGTTTTGCCCATGGTCTGTACATAGTTTTAACCAGGGTTTGAATGATTAACCACGGTTTGTACATAGTTTTAACCATGGTTTGTACATAGTTTTAACCACGGTTCATAGATAGTTTTGACTCTTAACCTTACATAGTTTTAACCATAGTTTTAACCACGGTTCATAGATAGTTTTGACTCTTAACCTTACATAGTTTTAACCACAGTTCATAGATAGTTTTAACCTTACATAGTTTTAACCATGGTTCATAGATAGTTTTAACCTTACTTTTAACCACTTACATAGTTTTAACCACGGTTCATAGATAGTTTTAACCTTACTTTTAACCACGGTTTGTACACATAGTATTAACCTTACTTTCAACCACGGTTTGTACATAGTATTAACCACAGTATATAGTATTAACCACAGTATTAACCACAGTTTGTACATAGTATTAACCACGGTTTGTACATAGTATTAACCACGGTTTGTACATAGTATTAACCACGGTTTGTACGTAGTTATAACCACCGTTTGTGCATGGTTTAACCACAGTTTAGCTACATGGTTTAACCACAGTTTGGCTACTAGTTAACCGTGGTTAGTGCATAACTAACTACAGTTTGGCTACTCGGTTTAACCGTGGTTAGTGCATAATTAACAACAGTTACTCGATTTAACCCCGGTGCGTCCATAGTAGTTAACCACGGTGTGTGCATAGTTAACCGCAGTTTGGCTACTTGGTTAACCCACGGATTGGCTTCTTGGGTAGTCATGCGGTGTGCCTTGGTGCATAGCTGCCATGCTGCTCATCCCATCTGCTTGCCTTGTCCTTCCATGCAGCTTGCTTGTGTGCCGTGCAGTTTGGCTTCTTCGTCAGCACTGCCTTGTGGCTCTCGCTGTGTTCTTGCCTTGTTGCCTTCTTCTCCTGCTGCCCCTCATGGTCATGGTCATCTCAAATTCTCACCCTCTGCTTCCAACAGGGGTTAAAGGAGACCACAAGCATCCTCCTGACTAGTCGGTGCAGGTATGAGAAAACAGTGTGTCCATAACCATCTTTTTTTTTTTCACTTAAACCATTTCTCTATTTATGTGCGTCGTCCTTGTGCTGGGGCCATGCTGCTCTTCTCCAAAGGGTTACAAATTAAATGGATGTCCCGAAGGACAGTCTACCATTAACCTTCCTTTTTTTTTTTCCCCCGTTTTGCTGTTGTCACTCTTTTGTGTTAACTTTTTCAGTTTTGCACTCGTAGGTTTACTGTCTTCATCCTTCCCTTCGGTTTGTTTGGGTGTGTACCATGTTGGGAATTGTCTACTGACTCGACTCACTCGGATGCATATATTCGTCGTGAGGTGTTGCGATGGGTATCGTGCATGGTGTTTGAAAATGCTAACGACAAGTTTAGATGTGTTTTACACACACACACACACACACACACACACACACAGAGGGAAGGAGGGAGGGAGGGAGGGAAAGAGAGGGAGCACACATAGCCCACATTCAGGCTTGAAAGATAGAAGAGAAACAAGGACAACAGTGCAGCACATATCCCGAACTCGAATCTCCAGCACCAGAGAAAAACAAATGGTCCATTTCTCCAGCATTGCCAGTGGTTCTACAATCCTTGCGCTTTGGACAGACAGTATGACCACATGCTGCCAACTACTCTCTCTCTCTCTCTCTCTCTCTCTCTCTCTCTCTCTCTCTCTCTCTCTCTCTCTCTCTCTCTCT